ATACGGGAAAAGACAAAAACCACTATAACACTTGGCCATCTCCCAATCGCCTTCACCTTGTCGTGAACAAAGTCCCTTTCATGTAATAGAGAAAAAATGAGCTAAAAATACAGAGAAGTGAGTGCGATTATAATCAAGACAAGAAACGACTAGTTGCCTTGCCTCCTTTTTGCCGGCGGCTCAACTCCCTCTCTTTCCCTTATTCAACAAATTAAGTTTAAGCAGTTTCTACTTATCTTCTTGCCGGTATTCCTTACATTCAAAGTATTCCCTATTCGGTTTATTTCAATGGCTCCTCTTATTTTACATTTAGCCACAGACATGCCATAATCAACAAGGCGACAAGTTTGAGACCATTCAATCTCGTATCCCGTTTCTGGCCTGTGCTCAGCAAGCTTTGATTTCTGAAATCAACAGACTTTGCAGGCGCTTTTGTGCTCAACTACGCTTTGTCGAATGGGACGAGAAGTATTTCCAACATACAAGCGACAACATGAACACATTATTTTGTAGCAACCCGATCTCTCTAAAAGTGGGCGCAACTGAAGAAAGTGACGTAGTTTCTCTGAAGATAATTTTTATTCTCCACTTCCTTACTTGTTCATTTCTCCGTTTAGAGAGAACGCACGAAGGTAAAGACAAAACATGAGAAAAGGTCTCCCTATCTCTCCTTACGTATTCATCATTCGAAAAGCTATTATTTATTAATCAGATTTTCTATCGATAAATGTTATCAAATGTATTCATTATATTTCGTTTAAGGTGATGAAAGACTTGTTGTAGAATTTTCCCACAATGCTATGAGTAGAACTGACGTTTTCATAAAATTGCACATAGTCTTGATTCACCAAAAGTTTTTCTCATCCAGACAGAAGTTGACTGCCGTTTCGTCCTCTCCTCGGTCTTATCAACACCTCCAGCGGGAGTTGAACCGTGACCTTGCAGCATGTGAGCTTGCCACGCTAGCAAATCGGCCGCATTGCCACCAGTGCCGTTGGGTCATAGGACAGATGTGAATTTTACTGAAGGCCAAGTTTTTTCCATATGACATACTTTGTTGGGATTGTCGATGAAGCAAACGTATTTTTGCTGTAACATATTTTCCGTAATCAATCTGCTCACACGAAATAGGCTGAAAACATTTCATTTTACTGATTTCTGGTAGTCTCAAAACTCTAATTACATACAAGAATTTTTTTTAATCAAGCCTCTAAGATAATTATTCTCAAGAATTATGCTCCGAATGATCATAGATTTTAAAACTTCAACCTTTGTTTGCTTGAAGAGGCCAGCATGCATCGTTGACATTCTACAAACATCCCTGCTTAACTTCTCGCCTGATCTGATCACTAAGACATCGAAAAGCGGTTAGTTACCGTTCATCTCCATCCCCATTGTCAACTTAACATTGCAGTCAATCTGGTTGATTCAAAACAAAAAATTATCTAAACTATCCTTGCCATATCGCCATTTGGCAAATTAGTCAATCATATTTCCGATTAACAGTTTTGGTTTCATCAAGTGTTCCTCCATTCTTGACATGCAATTATTAGCACATACACATGCACATACAGAGACAGACACATCCACATGCTTCTTGGCTGACATGTGAGGCGAACAAAGAGGTCGGATGTAGAGTATGTGTACCACCGATGACTTTGGTTGTGACGATGATAGCGCGTTCTGATGATGTCCGTTGTATGACGGACGAAAGATTGGCACCTTTTCACCGGAATCGAATGAGGTTGCCTCGGAAACGGCGTCAACAAGAGTGTTGCAATGAAGCTTGGATGTCTCAGACTGACTGGCTTCGAGGAGCTGAGTCTGCAGGACCTGCTGCACCAGTCGACAGGGAGACAAGAAGAGTCTGGCAGTGGCAGCAGTACCGAATTGCGTAGGCACTGTACATGACAGACACTGCAAGCGAACACCCACGACATACATTCGCTTCCTCTTGAGCACGCATCTTCGTGCCCCACATCAATTAGCCTTCAATTTCCTTTTGATTCCTGCTCTCCAGACTCTATTGAGTCTGTCTATCTCATTGTCTGTCTGTACATCCATCTCCGTTCTCACTCTCTCTCTCTCTCTCTCTCTTTGCATTTGGGTCTCATACACATTCCATGTAAATACACTGGATACGTTCTGGCCTATCATCGTCGGCTTATCCGTCCGGAGGGTCTTCTCTGAACTGGCATATGAGCAGTTGTGTTAGATCGAGTGTATGATGCTGGACTGTTGGCCTGCGAGCACACAGAGATAGATGGACGGATAGACAGACGAAGAAATAGACCAGCTCCAAGCAGTCTGGAGAGGCGCGATGAAGAGCCAATCCATTGGTGATTTGGGTTTGTGTCATGTGAAGATGCGTGCTCAAGAGGGGCTGACCGCAGACGCAGGGTCTGTGGAGGGTGTGATTTTGCGGCCGGCAGATGAACTGGCGTCGCTTTGATACAGCCAGCGCATGTGTCCACAGACGCCCAGCCTCGTGGTGGTCGTGGAGAAGACGGTGCTCGTCGGACTGGCGGTACAGAAGGCTCGCTGGCGCGACTGGCTCTGTCTGAAGCGGAGCTGGCGGATCAGCCGACTCGGCCGGACCTGGCGGATCCGGATCAACGCGACCGGCTGTCAGCGGATCCGCCTGATCAAGTGGTGCATCTGTGCGTGTTGTCTGCTGTTGTTGTGCGGCCACACGATCATCTATCATCTGTCCGGCTGGTACCGAGCCGAGGTAGGCGGCAGTCGCGAGGGCAGATGGTTGGACGCGATGCTGGCCGGCCGGAACTGGTCGGGCACCAACGAGGAGCAGGAGAAGCTGCGCAAGAGGAGTCTTCTGGCCGGTCGTCAAGAGCAGTTCTACCGAGTGCTGATGGGCCACGTGACGAAGCAGACGGTGCCGCTGGAACGAGACGCCATGTTGGACGGACTCGCCGAAGGGTCTGCAGCTCGACTGCGTCTACAGAGCTGCTCGACAGTGTGCAGAGACGAAATGGCGACGGCGACGGCGACGGCGACGGCGAATATTGCGAGGAATGAGACAAACTGGACCAACGCCTGGGACTCGACATCGTCGAGGCTGGCGGTGGAGATTGGCGAGATGACTCGACTGGATCGGCTCAACCAATCGCTGTTGCTGGGCGCCAGTTTGGTCGGCAACCTGTCGGGTCGTCTGTCCGGCGGTCTGTGGTTGCCGCCGGTGGACGGCGACGACGTGTC